GCGATCACCTGGCTGAACAAGCTCTAGCTGAGCACGTCTCTCTAAGCCTGTTACAACCTTTAAAGACAAAGCAACACCTATCTAGAACCTAGTTTTATTAAAGTTATGCATGTTATTGTTGTAAATACTATACTTAACTTAAGTATCCTCTACTAGCTTAAACTACGCGCTAATTATCTAGGATCTTCCTATAGTATCCTCTATCTATCCTTAGCTTAATTAAAGGCTATTTTGAGCTCGTCTAAACATGTTATAAGCCTGCTAGCCTATAGTTTGCCAACAGGCTCTTCACTACGCACACTAAGTATCTTATTAGCTATATCTGCCACCTCACATAGCTAGGGCGCAAATCCTCGCGAATTAAGGTTAAGTATATACTAGATAATTGTCTGCTCCTCTAGTATAGTAAGTTTCTAGTAATTAGCACGTATATCTAGTTAAAACGTAATATTGCAAAGGTAATTAGAGACCTACTAATAAGGTACGTTCAACGCTCTACATTGGGAAAAGTTTTTCCATTGTCGAAATCAGGAAATCGTGGCATTGTACTGTGGGCAACAGTAGGATTGGTAGGCCTACAACAGTTATTCAATGTGCATTCAATGTCTAGCCAATTTTAAGCCAATTTTGAGCTAATGGCTCCAACAGTCCTAATAGCTCTAATGGCCACAATAACTCCTAATCCTGCTATAATAGTAGCTCTGCTTTATAAACTATACTTTTATTATATTAATATACTACTAAGTCTCCTCTTTAAAATAAGCTATTAAATAATATTATAGGCCTAGTAATAGAATAGTTATTAAGTGTAGAAGGTTTTAAGCTTAATGTTCCTTGCTAAGACACTAAGTTAAGATTCTTTGCTAGGGCTCTAGCAGCCTAAATGTTAGAAAATATAAGAATATTATTTAAGAATAGTAGGTAAACCAAGAATTTTACGCCTAGGCCTGCCTGCCCTGTAAGCTCCTGTTGCGCTGCTGCTGTGTGTGTGTGTGTGTGTTGTGGTCAGCAGGTGCTATGCTGTATGCTGTTGCAGCTGCTACGTTATGTGCGGGCGCAGCTGCAGCTGCTATGGTGTGCTGTTGCAACTTCAAAACACAAACCTTTAACAAACAAACCTTCAACACTCTATAACTTGCGTTGTAGTAGGCCTACAACAATAATTTTTTGCTTATTTTAAAGCTACAATTTCGCTCTATCTGTATGTGAAATTTTGCAATTTTTAAATATTTAATGCTAGTGCTAGCACCACTAAGGGTAGCTATGTAACAATGTTGTAATGTTGTTTTAAGTTTATTAAATATAGGCACTTAGTGTTTTAGCTGTTAGCAATGTTAGCGCGAAATTAGGGCTGTTAGGCGCAAATTAGGGCTGTTGGGGCCGTTGAACGGCCGTTGCACGACCATGCCACGACTGTCAGCAACGGCCGGTCTAGGCTGGATTTCGAAAAACTTTTCCCGATGTAGCAGCACTGCAGATACTGCGAAATTAGCTAGCATAGAAGGCCTAGATAGTAAGGATAACTCTACCTTCTCTAGTAGTATTCTAAAGTTGTTGTTGTTAAGGCATATTATGTTAGGGTAAAAGGTGGTTGTGCTAAGAGAAAGTAGCTAGTTTAGTGATATGGCTGGCTTGGTGATAATCTACGTTATAACAAGTGTATTTTGTTGTTCTGTGTTGTTGTTCTGCTTGTATCTTTTGCTCTCCAAAGCTCGCTGCGGGGTCTGTTTTGATGACGTGTTTGTGATGCAGCTGAGGGAAGAGGTGCTCAACAACATGAAGTAGCACCAGACCACCGCCAGCAACACGTGATCTGCTTCTCCTCTCAACCGTTACAGCTTACCTAGGTAATTAACTCACCTGGAGGGTACGTTAAATCTTTTCGACCTTAAAACAGGACAGACGGTTATTCCACGCTAGCTAAGGGCACTTAAAAACTCTTATCACTTCATCTACTTTAACGCAGTGCAAAGCGAAGACCAGCGTTTTAAAGAACCTCCTCCGCCTCCAATTGCAGCCACTAGTGCAGACAGCATCCTGCCTAAAGCAAACAAAAACACCTCCCCTCTGTATTGCGCCAAAGTACTCAATTTCAATTGCTATCACGAATCTTCGCAATAACCTTCTCGCTTAGCTTAGTTAGTGATGCAGCGTTGAGAACATCCAAGGTCGTGACCAGCGCGCCAAGTTCTGTCCTGATCCAGTTTCTCAGCTCCACTGCTGCGAGTGAGTCAATCCCGTACACGGATAAAGGTCGCTCCGCGTCCATGGCTTCGGGAAGATGCAGCATACGGACAAAAGCGCCGTTGATCGCGTCGACCACCGCTTTCTGTCTTGCGCCCTCATCGGCCGACTCGTTCTTCAGCAGCAACAAGGCTAGCTGTACCTCCGCGTCCTTACAATTAGCTCCGCCGGTATCTCCACCGGCGCCTGACTGACCCTCGAAAAGTGCAGAGAAGCGGGCATCTTTCTTTAGTTGAGAGTCGGCGGGCTGAGGTACGATGAGACCAGTGATCAACTGCGCGTTTGCCTCTGGGCTGGATCTTGGGTGCGCATGCTGCTGCAACATAGAGACATATAGGATCTTGGCCAGCAAGCCACTGTTGATGCCTTTGAAGACCCGGGTGTCGAATACGTTTTGCAGATTCTCTTGTTCTGCGATCACACCAGAGTCTTCAATCACCCCCAAGTCGACTGAGCAAGCTGACTGCCCACGGGAACAACGGAAAGCAGCAAAGGAATCGAGGAAGACATTGGCAGCAGCATAGTTGGCCTGTCCGCGGTTGCCGACCACACCCGAGATGCTGGAGAGGAGAGTGAAGAACTCGAGCTTGAGATTGAGTGATTCTGCAGCATTGTGCAAGTTCCAGGTTCCGCGAGTCTTGCACTGGACTGCTTCGTGATACTCCGTCAAAGTCATCTGGTCGAAAGGGCGGTCCTAATACTAGGTTAGCCGAGTACCTACTGGGACCAGCGTGAACTAATGTACCCTCAAAACCATTGCTCCCTGAATGATTCCTGCAATAGGAACCTTCGTCTGTTTGAATGCGCGCATCACCTCTGTGGCATCGGTAACATCAGCAGTAAGGAGATCAATGTAGGCGCCAAGCCCGTTGATCTGCTTGACGATGCCCTGCGACTTTTGATCCTCGTGCCCGCTACGAGATATGACAGCAAGATACTTGGCTCCTTGCTTTGCAAGGTAGATAGCAAGAGAACCACAAAGACCACGAAGACCACCAACAATGAGGTAGCACCCATCATCGCGGAAGACCAGTTTCGGAGTCGCTCGGCGGATCTAAGACATAAAGTCAGCAGTCGTCTTCTTGAAAATGACGGAGATTGAATAGGACAGATGAACCCTACCGGAACTTGGATCTTAGCATCGGCTTCATCCGACAACACCACTTTGCCGATGTGTGTTCCTGGTCTTAGGAATCGCACTGCCGTGGGAATTTCTGTCCATGAGAAGCGGTGCACTGGGTTAATGGGCTTGATATGCCCTCCTTCCAGAAGCTCGAACAATTTGGCTAGAGATCGCTGAATCAGAGCATCCGGAGCCCGTTCAGCGGACAAGTCGACCGCCCTGAACGAGATGTTACGATCGAAGGGCGTCATCGTAAGCTTATTACGATCTAGGATATCCTTTTTTCCGATCTCGACCATAATGCCTCCATCAGCTAAAATGCGGAAGGACTCTTCAAGCATGTCTCCTGTCAACGAGTTGAGCACTATATCGACTCCGCGGCCGTTAGTGGCAGCCAAAGTTTGCTCAGCGAAATCCGTGTTACGCGAGTTGAAAATCTGATCGTCGCTCAAACCAAAAGTGGCCTGGAGAAATTGCCTCTTCTCGGGACTACTTACCGTAGTAAACACTTTGGCACCTACATACTGTGCAAGCTGGACGGCTGCAATACCCACGCCTCCAGCAGCAGAGTGAATGAGGACACTCTTACCGGTAGAAAGGTTGCCCAAGTCGAAAAGAGCATGTAAGCTGGTGACATAGACGACCGGAAGGGTCGCGGCATCTGTGAAGGACAGAGTATCGGGGATGCGATGTACGCGAGCGGGTACAGTCCTGACGCGATTGGCAAAGCAGCCCTTGTTCCAAACCATAACACGATCTCCCGGAGCGTAGTTGGTCACGCTTGGGCTGACATGTTTGACCACACCAGCCGCTTCAAAGCCCAGCTGTGACTCATCGCCAGGTACATACCCCATACTGACGACCACATCTTTGTAGTTCAAGCCAGCAGCGTAGATCTCTACCTCTATTTGACCATTTGGCAGTGGAAGACCATCAGGTAAAAACTCGCCGAAGTGGAGGCTGTCGAGGTTGCCCAGGCGTTCGCAACGGAGTCTTACGAGTGACTCGGATTCGTGAAAGTCGACGGTCTCAACAGGCTGTTCGCTAATATCGTCGCTTTGGAGTGAGGTGAGCTTGGCATCGGGAATGATGCGGCTGATGTATGTGAGACCTCCGCGCTCAACAAATTCGCAGTCCTCGGCTGATACGTCTTCCTCCGTTGAGAGTTTGTCCAGGCATGCTGAAATTGCATCGGAAGTTGCGTCCCCCGTGGTATTCTCAACATCGAGGGTGATGAAGCGTACCTTCTCCTCACTACGGATAGTACGGAGTATACCAGCAATGGCGGCTTTGTCTGGATCGGTTACGTCGAACTGGGAGCCAACTGTGACCCATAGAAGGCTGCATCTTTGTTCAAGAAGATGCTTGATTCCTTCCCACTGCTGTTCGTTGAAACGGTCCATAAGAGAGTGGAAGAGCTCATCAATCACTACCACAATGTCCTTGCTGGAATTGATATCCTGCACTGGTGAAAAGGTAGACTTAACAACCCATTTGTCCGAGGTAAGCTTTGCGATAACCTGAGCCATCTCATCGGACTGCCGAGCCGCTGGCTCAACGAGACTCACGTGAGTAATCGTTTGGCGCACGGCCTCCCCCGACTTTTCGTCCTTCATCTGGCAGATGCTGCTTGTGTTTCCAGCAGTGAAGGTCGTGCCGAGGCGCTTAAGGAGCGGTTTATGTATGCTGTTACCGATGAAGAATGCACCTGCCTTTGCGGAGTTGGCAAGACTTGATACCAAGACTTCTTCTTCACCTGGTGTAACTGTCCCCTTGATAATGATCAAGTCGAATTTGGTATCTGGAACAATCTCCCCACCCTTCATGGCGTCCACCAGATGAACCTGTGTACCTTGCATCTGCTCTTGGGCTGCCAGCATGACCCTAGGATCCCGAACGGCGAAGACATATCGTGAGCAAGCAGATCGCATGGTAGACCCTCCTTCCGCCGCCCAGATGCTGGACGTCTCTTCGTTGTTCAGGTTCAGCTCCATCACGGCTAGTCCGGGCCTCTTGTGGACCACCAAATCGATTACATCGCCAATCTCCTTGGTCGCGAGATATTTTTGCGTTGCGCTTTCGGAGGTTTTGAATAACGTATCGACATCGGCATTCCATGCGAGACGAGTGAACGTGTGGCCTGCTTTCTCAGTGTCGCCCACCTCAATTTCTCCCTGCTCTAGACCCCTCATTTCAAAGAGACAGGCGCCATCTCGAGGGTTAAAAACCTGAACGCTGGTGGTGTAGTTGCGTGGGTGCTCTTGATCTCCAATACCGACCCAGTTTGCGGAGGACAATGCGATGCCCTCACCTTCGACCGGCAGGTTTTTACCACCTTGGAGGACTATGGTGCCAATAATTTTAGGTACAAGCACTGCTGAGCCGGAAGTGGGTGGCTCGCCCTTCCACAGAGAAGGCGATGTAGCCTGCAAGCAGGAATCCAAAACTGCGGGATGCATTGGGTAGTTGGACTGACCGAGGGGGTTCGATGGTGGGGGCTCAAGGTTGATAGTAGATCTCGACGTCCGCTCGCCAATGGAGGATTCAACTGCCACGTGCTTCTGGAAGCAAGGTCCAAACTTGTATCCCATATCAGCCAGTGCCTTGTACCACACACGAGCAGGGGTGGGGAACTCCAAAGGTCGCATAGCCTCTGCTTGAACAGTGGTACTTTGATAGTCTGTCTCGACGCAGACGAAACCTGTGATATGTTCCTGGTCGACTGGCGCATCCTCTTGCAAAGAGCACACGCGGAATTCATACCAGGTTCGTGTGGAACCTCCTTTGATAGGGGTCAATGACAACGTCATTCGGGTTTCCGAGTTCTCTTCTAACACTAGGGCGCGGAGGATTTGGACGTCTTTCAATCGATATCGGTACTTTTCTGGGGCTTGATGATTCCACTTCACGGACATAGTGGTCTGGTAGACAGCTTCAACGGCCATTGTAATATATGCTGCTCCTGGGAATACAATTTCACTGCCGAGCATATGGTCCCTTAGGAATGGGACATCAGAGAGCTTCAAGAGCTTTTTGAAGGTTGGCGCCGTCCAAGAGGTGGCAGGAATCTTGGATCCAAGAAGGTCGTGGTTGACAAACTTTTTAAAACGCCAATCTTTGCTCGCCCTAGTTTCGTGCCAATACTTGTTGGTATGATTCCATGAGTAATTGGGCAGGTCTACGACGACCTTAGCGTTGTGTTTCTCGATTCGGTTGACACGGCTCAGACTGACATTACCTCCGGCGAGAAACAGCTGGCCGGCCGATTTGTAAAGCGCGAGAGTTGAGCCTTCGCCGCGAGTTAAGCATGAGGTATATGGAATATCGCCGATCTTGCCGGCAAGACTCTTTTTGATTTGTGCAATGGGACCGGAGAGCGCATTGGCTGGGCCAAGTTCGATCAGGAAGTTGGCACCAGATTCTCCATCACGGATCGAATTCGAGGCCGCATCTGCAAATCGTACAGGTGAGACCATGTTACTCTTCCAGTATGCTGCATCAAGCTTCTCGTTCGCCTCTAGCAGTTTCCCAGTAACGGAGCTATACATTCGTACACGAGAACTATTTTTCTCAGATTGCTGCTGGAAGACGTCATCTTTGAGCAACATCTCCTCGTAGACCTCGCCAATAGCAGCCATGTAGTCGGAATGGTAGGCCAAGTCAACAAGTAGAAGGCGGGCGAAATGATTGTCTGCCTGTAGTCGATCTCGGAGCTTTTCCAGTGCTGATCGTGTACCCGAAATCGTCAGACTGTCCGGGCTGTTATAACAGGCAATTTGGACCTTCCCCTCGTCTGGCTGAAGGTAATGCTCAATTTTGTCGGCACTGAGACCGACTGCGAGCATACCAACGGGTTCCAAGGGAGCTTCAACCTTCTTAGCTGCCTGGCCACGGTAGAAGGCCGTCTTAATTGCGTCAGCATATGTAAGCAGCCCTGCAGCGGCAGCAGCTGCGATTTCACCAGAGGAGTGCCCAACAACACTCTCGGCCTTGACGCCCCAGTCGTTGAGAACCTCGAGAAGTGCCAGTTGTAGGGCCGTCACAAGTGGTTGCGAGAATTCAGGTTGACGAAGTGCTTCCCCACTTCGAGCAGAAGTCAGCTCCTCCAACAGCGTCCATGCTGGCGGCTCTGGCAAAGACTTGAGAATCTCATCGAGTTCTCCAATGACCTTTCGCGCAATAGGAAAGTTCTCTACGAGTTCTGCACCCATCTGAGACCACTGTGCACCTTGCCCGGTAAATACGAAGCCAATGCGAGGAGGCGAGGGGGCTTGCTTTCCAGTCACCAGATCGTCGGCTGCCAGGGTGGGCTTCTTTGATTGCGTGATTGTGAAAGCGCGGTAGTAGAGTTTGCTTCTCCTTTCGCTTAGAGTATAGGCCAGGTGGTCAATATCGATTGACACCGTAGGGTCAAGGAGATGGTTGGACAAAGTCTTGGCATAGCTCGTAAGGGAGCTCGGCTCATTGGCAGAAAAGACCAAAAGTTTCGGTGCTGTCAGGGCTATTTCTCCATCCTCATCCTCCTCGTCTTCATCGTCGAAAAAGTTGCCGGAGATGGTCTGGTAGGAAGAGACGTGGGGAGACGACGTGGCGTTCTCGAGCACGGCGTGAGCATTAGCGCCTCCGAAACCAAATGAGTTGACACTAGCTCGTCGGATAATCGATCCCTTAGGCCATGGAACCATTGTCCTACTTGCGCGGAGTTTGAGACCCTCCCAATCAATCCTGGGATTTGGCTTGATGAAGGTCGGGTTACCGGGGATTTGACCGCGCTCAATAGCCATAGTGGCCTTGATCAGACCTGAGATTCCGGCAGCGGCCTCGGAATGGCCTACATTGCTCTTTATTGACCCGATGACTAACTCTTGACCAGGCTGGCGACCAGGCGCGAACACCAATGCAACACCTTGGGCCTCAATGGGGTCTCCAGTAAGCGTACCAGTCCCGTGACACTCAACATATTGCGTGTCTCGAAAATCAGTAATACCGGCGTTCTTATAAGCCATTCTGGTCACAGCTGCCTGAGCTTCTGAGCTTGGATTGGCGAGACCCGCAGTGCGACCAGATGCATTTGAAGCTGTGCCGCGAATGACGGCTCGGATGGGATCATTGTCACGAATCGCGTCGTCTAGGCGCTTCAAATAGACGATGTTGGCGGCCTCAGCCTTGACGTAGCCATCCGCACTGGCATCGAAACTCCTGCATTGTCCGGAGGCGGACTGGGTCTTGTTCATGGTGCCGACTTCCTCGTTGTGTTCTGGTGCCAGCCACAAATTGGTTCCTCCCACAATCATGCCGTCAGCCTGGTGGCTGTCCAGAAAGCGGCAGGCCACATCCAGGGAGACCAAACTGCCGGAACAGGCTGTATCAATAGATATGCTCGGGCCGTTGATGTTGAGGAAATGACTGAGCCGATTGCTAAGGATAGATGGCGAAAGGCCAATAGTGATTGAGTCTGCTCTGTCCTCGGGATCGCGATTTTGGATAGCTGTATAGTCGGAGAAGCTATTTCCGACAACAACACCGGTTCTAGTTCCACTGATTCTTTCCAGCGGAATACCGCCGTTTTCCAAAGCTTCGTATGCCACTTCCAAAAGCTGGCGTTGCTGGGGGTCCATGGCGACACAGTCCGCCTGGCTGATGCTGAAGAACCGGCCGTCGAAAACAGCGGGATCAACATACTCCATAAACATCCCGCCTGGTGACTTCATTGTGCGTGGTCGCCTAGTTCCATCGTAGTGGCCAGCCAGATTGAAGCGGCTCTCTGGTGGCGTATTTCCAGCTATCCCTCCTCTTTGGAGAAGATCCCACAAAGCTGTCGGGGATTTGCTATGTCCGGGTAGCCGACAACCCATGCTGACGACGGCGACTGGCGTCTGAATGCGTGGTTCCCGCGCCGTGGGGGCAGCACCATCATGTCCGTCTTCGCTGGAGCAGATGCTCGTGCCGGTTGAGCCCTCCGGGCTAATAGAGCTGACGGGTGTGCTGTTCATGGTAGATTCGGTCATTGTCATGTAGTCGTCAATAGCTTGTTGGGTTCAAGTGGATGAATCTCTCGTACTTAGGTAGTATGAAGTGATTCCCTAGTGGAAAGAGACAATGGGGTGAAGGTTGCCAAGAATGCAAGTCTTTACGAGATGCAAAGGAACAGAAGAACTGCTTGTTGTAAACGTCTTTTAAGCATTTGTAGTCTCTTCCAGTGAGTATGTATCTCTATACTGACCACCAGCTTGATGTTGCTGTACTCTTGACGCTATTCCGCTTCTGGGAGGGCAAGACAATACTGCGGTTGTAGTACCAGACAGCGCAGATCATCACGTTCGGGGACGGACCGCAGGTAAAGCCGTCTGCTGCGAGATTGCATGCAAACAGTATCTCTCGGTCAGATTTCCACGAACTAGGAGGTGCGCCCCATTCCATTGGGCATAAATGACGACTGCGTAATCTACAGGGGCGGAACTTGGCATCCGAGACTTCCGATTCATGCAGAGTAGAGACGAAATCCGACCGAGGTTCCTCAACGATGCATGTAAGCTGCTTACCACACATGCCTGTTATCTGAAACGCCCGAGATGGTGGTATTTTGTGCGGAACAACCCCCTTCAAAGTTTTACATCAGTCAACCCAGATCGAGATTATACCTAGTCCGCGGCTACCTGTATATGCATGGGCCTTCCAGGTGCGGGCCGAACAACAGCGCCAGTGGGCAGGGACTACGTTCTGGACTAAGGTGGCTGACAGGAACCCTAATCCTCCGCTCCACCAGGATATCTAGGACCGGCTCCACGAATGTGCTCGATCTCTTACAAATTGAGACGATTTTCACCCCCTTTTTCATCGGAAAAATCATCGTTTACAACGTTTCTTTATCACTTTGGCCACTACTCGCTCTACCAGCTATCAAACAAAGGGGTTCAGCGACCAGCATATCAGAGCATTAGCACCATGAAAGGCAGAGAGGATGTCACTTTCCCGACTTTGGACGGTCTTATTTTGCGAGGATGGCTCTACCCGGCAGCCAAGAAAGGCCCAGCCATCATCATGACGCCCGGTGTATGTACAGTCCTAACTTTTCAGGATTTAATCAGCAGTCTGATCCCCCGTTTGCAGTTCAACATGACCAAGGAAACAATTATTAATGACGTTGCCGAATACTATTTCGCTGCCGGCTTCACAGTCCTAAGCTACGACCCCCGGTCAATTGGTGCAAGCGACGGTCTGCCGCGGAACGAAGCCAACCCAATCAAGAATATGGAGGACTACATGGACGCCTTAACCTTCCTGAAATCGCACAAGGTGGTGGACCCTAATAGAATTGCCTATTGGGGTTATTCATTCAGTGGAATGGTAGCGCTATGTGCAGCTGCACTCGATAAACGGGCTAAGGCCGTTATCGCCTCAGCGCCACTAACGATCTGGGAGTTTAAGAAGTGGAAACCAGTGCTGTCTAAATGCATGAAAGACCGAGAGTCTCGCTTGGCGGGCAACAAACCAGTGAATCTGCCCATGTTGACGGATACCGGGGAGCAGCCTGCAGGATTTGGCGAGAACTTCGAGGGCGAGGGCGTGCTCAACATCATCGCTCGTGCTGTAGAGTTGCAGCCTAACTTCAAACCTGAAACGGCGCTCAGCAGCTACTACCATATCGCTGCTTTTCAGCCATTTTCGCTTCTTCCGTTCGTGACACCGACGCCAGCCTTTGTCGTGTATGGCGAGCAGGATCAGATTTCGCCAGCGCATCTCCAGAAGACATTGATTTATGATGCACTTTCGCATCCAAAGCAGCTGTTTACAGTACCAGACAAGGCGCACATGAATCTTGTAAGCGGGCAAGGCTCGGAGCGGATACTGGATGAGCAGATTAAGTTCCTCAAGAGTGTTTGGACCAAAGGCTAATAGACAAGCTTCTTGTTTTGTATTGCTATAGGGTAGTGAAGGGTTCGTTTTTGAGGTCTCCACAAGTGATTAGCAGATAGAAGAATAGCTACTTGGTTTAGTAGTGTTTATTAAGACGCAAACAAATTTAAAGTCTAATATAAGGGATCTTATCCCGTCTGCGTGAACTCCAAAATGCTTCTAGCATACCTAGGTACTTAGATATATAGGTAGTCTATGCGTCTATCAACAGTTCAACTACTTCGTGGTGACCCTTTTCAACAGCATAATACACTGCCAGCCGCCCACGATTGTCTCGCAATTGCGAATCCGCCCTTTGCCCCAGCAGCAGGCTCACTAGAGCCTCATCGCCTAGTTCTGCTGCAAGATGTAGTGCTGTACGTCCCTCTGCATCGCAGTCGTCGATGTTGACCACACCCCGGCGTAACAAGACGCGGATCACGTCCCGACTGCGTGAACGGATCGCAACATGTAAAAGGGGAGGATCGGGTGTTTCGAAATCGGACTCCTCTGATGATGTTCTTGTGGTACTACCGATGCCGTGACGGTGCTGTAGAGGAGTTGTTATGCAGGCGGACTGTGGCCGTGCGACAGGATGGTATTGTTTAGAGGAGTTGGTCGATGCTGGTGATACTTCTCTATTTATCCATGGACTGGTCATTCTGCTAAAATTGCTTTGCGAGAAAGTGAGGTTTGTCTGCGGCGGTTCTTGTCCTTGTGAATGCTCTTGTGGAGGCCACAACGTGGTATGATGAACTCCAATCGATCCTCCAAATGATTGAACGTTTATGTTGCTGATAGGCGGTGGGAAGGAACCAGAGTATGCGTACATGTTCATCGTTTCTGACGCCATGTCCGTGGGGCCGTACCTGTTGGACGAAGGGAACTGCGTCATCTGGTGGCCTTCTGTGTTTGCGCTGGGAGCTTCTGAAGATCGGGCGCTGATGAGTTGGTCGTATTCCGCAATTGGAAAATTCTCCATCGAGTAGTTGAATTCTCGATTCCCTTGTTGCGTGGGGGAAAATAATTGTGTGGGGGTTGTCTCCTGGTGCGGATCGACGCGGAGGCTGAGTCTCTTGTTTGGAGCTTTTGCATTTCGCGCTTTTCGTTCTGATAATTGAGAATATTTGTTCTGATCTGCTCGTGAGATATTGGCCCTTACCTCGAAACTTCCGTTGTGCAACCCGGTTCTGCAATCTTCGCTGGGCCGACACCGTTTGCTGCACCTCTTCAACTAATACTCTCCCATGATCTGCGGGCAGCATTGAGACCTTAACTTTAAGCTTTAGACTTCAAGAGGTTAAAGAAGTGCTCCTATGCAACATCCGTTTCTCCTTTGGTTGTTAGGCCAATTGCATGTGCCCAAGCAGTACATTTATACCATCTTTTCAGATCGAGATCTCAGCCCAAAGACATAAGGGTCAAAGGAAACAACTTAGGCAGGTACGGCGAGGGGAGAGCCCCGGTGTTGGCTATAAGCTCGGCCACATAGTGTTCGGCCACATATACTGTAGTGATCGGCCACCCCACCACAACGCGTCACTCTCTTCTTGACCTTCTGTATTCCCAACACTACGCGTTCAGTATGGATGCCCGTGAGCTGGCTATACAATCTGCTATTGAAGATCTAAATTCTGGTGTTTTTACAAGCCAGCAAAAGGCTGCACAGGCAAAGGGCGTGCCGCGATCAACGCTACAAGAACGTATCAACAGTTGTCAACCCAACGCGATAGCTCACTCAAATTAACAGCAGTTAACACCAGAGCAAGAGCGCTTGCTAGAAGAGTGGATACTAGAAGAGAGAGGACTCACGCGCGCAACTTCCCTCTCATCCACGCGTACGTGAAATGGCCACCCGAATCCTGCACATAAACGGCAACTACGAGCCCCTAAGTTAACTAAAGATACCAAAATTCATTACCCGCAACCTACGCGTCATATCTGTAGTCGGCCGAACAATTGAGAGCGGAAGGACTACAGCAGCTAGTCAGAACACAATTCAAGCTTTTCTTAAGCTGTTTGAGCAGACTATAACAGAGCTAGGCATACAGTATGAAGATATATAGAATATGGATGAGACTGGAGCAGCACTAGAGGTATGTACAAACGTCTAGGTGCTTGCAAGCTTTACAAAGAAGAAAGCGTATTTTAAATTCCTAGAGGATTGCGAATGGGTATTAATTATTGAGACCATCTAAGCCATTAGCGTTCATCTTCAACGCCTAGTTATCTTAAAAGGCAAGCATCTACAATTAACGTGATTTACAGCAGAAGGTGCTCTCAATCGACTCTATACAAACCTAGAGAACAGCGAGACGTCCATCTCTGTTGAATATGAATAGTTGCAGTGTATTTTTATACTAAACACTTCACTATCCTCTAGTGGCTATTAACTGCTTCTTCTTCTATTCTTAAAACTGGCCATCGCAACAAGACCTGAGCTTTCTCCTCACTAAATGACGCGGTATCAAGAAGGAGCGCATTGTTATATCATATAATAAGACAAGAGAAGAAGCTCGATTGTAGTGAGTTATACGAGCTGGCTGGCACGCTGCTGGTATTTGCCCATTCAACCCAAATCCAGTACTAATCTTATCCTAAGTATTTGGCCGGCCAGTTATTCTAATAGCAGCTAGTTGGGCCTTAACTATATTAGAACAAGTCTCCAACACCCCTCAGAGCCCACAGGCTTTATATAAGCCCAGCAGCAGCAGCTGTTGTCAGAATCTTTCTTACGGAGCACCCGAATAGTGTTTGGCAAGGCAGGCAAGGCAATTGGGGAGGCAAATACCAGAGCTACCCAGCTCAAGGCTAAGAATCAACAACTCAAATATCAACTGATCACCACAAGATTACTCGTACATCAAAGCGCGTTTAATTTGATCCAAATGAGCGGTTTAGCAACGTTGAGAATATACAGACTGCTATTGACTGAGCAGCAGCCCTACAGGCTCAAGAAGCAAGCACTTCAGCAGAAAAAGAAGCTCAAAGACCTGCGGTTGCTGAATCTGCTCTTACTCTCAATTCCACGTGTACACAGTGGCAGATATAATCATTGTTGTTAAGAAAATCTCAACTCTTTGTTGTGTGGCTACTTTGGATGGGGCGTCTGATCACTATATGTGGCCGAACACTATATGGCCGAGCTTGGTAATTTACCTATAGGTAGGTAGCCGTACTCGTCTTTGCTACTCGATTTGGGCCGTCGGGAATCTACTTCAGTCTCTCCAATGAGATGCTGAAGGCTTCATGCGGGTGATGAAAAGAGCCAAAACTCTCCGACATGCTAACCATAAAAAGAATTTTTATTGGAGAAGTGGGCCCTGAAGCCGATGAACTGGGTCAGTTGCGATACTATTCTGCGCATTCATTGCGATTACAGCAAGAATGTAGCGACCGTCGCTGATTAAGGTGATCTCTCTCAGCGCAGCGTGCCATGTAGCGCTGTTTGATTCGATGACTGGGCGTGGAAGGATGCGCCCTGTAACGGCGGGCGCGAATGAGCTGCCAGCCGTTAGGTGTTCAATTGTGGCAGCATAGACTTCGTGATAGCTCTCGCGGTGCGTGCTTTGAAGGTTCACTGATTCTGCAGTGAGAGAAGATGAAGTGCGTGACTGCCAAGGTCGCAGGGTGCTGATGGGTTGCCAAAAGGTGTGTGCATATGTTGTTTTAAATTCAACTGGACATGAAATCTGCCGGTGTGGGAACACTTGAAACAAAATTTGGTAAATTTCCGATACCTACCGGTACCTAGGTCGGTCAGGTCGCCGAGAGACGCAAAGCCCCACCACGCCAAGATATGCACATAAGCAGAAGGCACTAAGCACCTGGGCATGCATATGCACATAAGCAAAGGTACTAAGCATGCGAGATCCTCAGCCTACAATTCTCCATATATGCAGCTGTGTCATTATGCGGGCGCACTGTCAAGCTGGCGATCGCGATATTGAGTTGTACATTGAGTCATGCCGGTAGGCATGCATGGAAGGGACGGAAAGGATGGTTATGTGCCGCACTACCTAGATAGTCAACGGGCTGACTTGTAGTACAATACGAATTCGCTCTCGGCGTACCTGCTTACCTAGGTACGTTCTAGGGTATCTTGGAAAAGCCATGCTTCCAGGTGTTGGGACGAACTCGCAATGGAGCAAAGATGGAGGATGATGATGCGACGTCTTTGTATCTTCTCCAGTATAAGTGTCCCCATGAGCACCCTCGGGGGCTTTACCGAGACCACTCGGGCCGCCAACAATCTCCTCTCAGGTTGCCAGATAACGTCAAAATGCCGGCCTTCAACATTCCTCTTTTCTTGGCTACGCTCGTCATCACCTCCACTTGCTATTGCCTCACTATCGCCGTCAACAGACTATTCTTTAGTCCTCTGACAAAGTTTCCAGGCCCAAAGCTGGCCGCCGTCACGGGCTGGTATGAAGCATACTACGATATCTTCGTCAATGGCGGAGAGGGTGGCCAGTTCCCGCGACAAATCGAGAGGCTCCATCAACAGTATGGTCCCATTGTGCGCATAACCCCCTCCGAGTTACACATAAACGACCCAAAGTTCCTCTCTGAGGTGTACGGACACAGCACACGGTCGAAGCCAATAGACAAGTCCGAAAAGTACAGGTATCGATTCGGCATCCCAGATGCGGTTCTTAGCACACCACTGGCCGAGCAGCACCATAAGCGACGAGCGGCCCTAAACCCATTTTTCTCTAAGCAGCGAATTCGGAGTCTGCACACTGGGCTGACGGAAATTGTTGAGCGCATCTCGTTTCGCCTTTCGACCGAATATGCTGGCACCGGCAAAGTTGTGAACTTCAGTGATGTGTGGTCAAGTATGACAATGGACACGGTGACAGCATTTGCATTTGGCCGCTCGACAAGCTGCACTGCGGCAGCAGACTTTGAGTCGCCACTTACTTTAGGCATACAGGCTCTCGTGTGGTCTGGGCATTGGAATGCACACTTCAAGATCATAAACGATATTATGAACTTATTTCCAGCGCCCATTCTGCTACAGCTGATGCCGAACCTAAAGCCTATTGTAGGATTTACAACTGTAAGTTTAGGCTCAAATCGTATTATAGCGCGCTACTAAAAGTGGGAACAGAGTATTCGGAACCAGGTTGCAGCTATTGTAAACGGTAGAGAGGTCAAAGGAGTGGATGTCAACCACCCGACTATATTTCACGATATACTCAACTCTAATCTGCCCGACTCGGACAAGTCAGTGGACCGGTTGACACAAGAAGCGACGAGTCTCGTTGGCGCAGGGGGGGAAAGCACAAAATGGGCCCTCACCATTGGTACCTTCCACTTATTGGACAACCCTGCCGTGCTTGCAAGGCTCAAAGCTGAGCTCACGGAAGCAATGCCCGATCCGAGTGTCATTCTCTCCTACAGTGATCTTGAAAGGCTCCCCTATCTTGGCGCCGTCATCCAAGAATGTAAGTTCTCCAGCCGTATTTTGTACCATTATACATCCAAATACTCATACAATATTTCAAAGCTCTACGTTTGGCATACGGCCAAGTCCAGAGTATGCCACGCATAAACCGTCTGCATCCGTTGCAATTCAATGAATGGGTCATTCCGGCCGGTGTCACTGTTTGCATGGATATTTACTCTATCCACAACAACGAGACGATATTCCCAAACGCGTCAACCTTCCAACCTGAGCGGTGGCTCAACGAGCCAACTGGGCCTGGCGAACGCCCACTTTCATATTACCTCTTTTCTTTTGGCAAAGGGTCAAGAGGGTGTCTGGGTAAAGAGCTCGCATACATGGAGCTATATGTCGCCATCGCAACGATTTTTCGAAGATTTGAGATGGAGTTATATAAGACAACCAGGGCGGACGCAGATTTTATTTTAGATATGGTGGTGCCCATGCCTCACCGTAAGAGCAAGGGCGTAAGGGCCGTCCTCAAGTCAATAACGTAGAAACACTTTCCGCCACATATAACGTACTCCATAAGCATTTCGACCACCTTACCGTTTAGACCACTTTTCTAAGCCTACTCAGGTATGGCGACACTGAACACACATTATTCTAAAACTAAATCCTCTCAGGAAATTGCTACCGCCGCTTATGCCAACCCTCTTAAAAACCACTCTAAGCCCCTACCTTTCAGCGAACGCTCGTGTTCTAGTCGGATCATTCTTTTAGCGTTGATCTTGCCTTCTCGTGTTGCTCTTTCAGGACTCTAGCCCCTGGTCAACCCCCTGAACTAACCTGTTTTGGCGCACCACTATCTTCTGCAACCTGCGACAATTCTGTGATACCTTTTGTTTTCCTAACACCTATCCTAGATCTTTTAACGCTGGTTAGCTGTTCTTCTTGCCATTCCTACCACTGCGTAGGATGTACTCAATGTAGACAGTCTACACTAGACATACGACACGTGGCATAGCGCTTATAGCAGCTAGAGGCAAAGCTAGCTGGCTAGCACTATAATTGTCTATATATATTAAGCAACGAATACTTGCTTAAGCATTCTTGTGCTTACCTTTTGGTAGAAGCAGAGAAGTCATGTAGTATTGATTTCGAGGGCAGGGCGCCTACTGTCCGCGCAGGGCAGCGCTTCTCATAGGCCAGCTCGCCTCTCGATTAGGTTAGGTCTCCCGCTTTCACGCACTGTAGATAATCGCTCCCTCAGCTAGACTCAATCGACAGTTCACATAGCCACACTCATCACCTACTCTGTTACTGTCAGATTCTCGTACTGTTGTCAGAGTATAAACTCGACGAGATTGTGGGTCGTAAAAATTGTGTGTATTTTCTGTCTTCTTAATTTTGTGTCTCTCCTCTAATCTTATGTACTCTTAACCCTGCCTTTCTATTAATTATTAGCTAAGGCATTATCTTAGTAGTCCCAGATTGTTTAGATACCCCTCTTTTACATGCTTAGCAACCTCAATCTAGCGTGTTGCTAATTATTAGGCTTAGTCTGTGAGCCCCTGCCTTGCTTAATGAACTTAGCTGAGATCTCTAAGTAATGTCTCTGTACAGATCCAGCCCTGCCAACCTTTCCTTAGTAACCTAATATCTAACCTACCCCCTTAGCTTAAAAACTCTTTAAGCTAGTTATCTATGTAAATAGTAGGTTATTAAGTTATTCTTAAATCTCCTTAAGAGGTAACGTGTTTCACAAGCGAGCGCCGCACCCAAGCGAGCGCCGTGTAACGACGCAGGCAAGAGGAGAGATATCCGGAATAGGTGTGAATCCGCTACAAGGCATATGGGAGTGCTGGGATAATAAGAACACCAGGATATATTCTTTACACCTATAGGTCTTGTATAAAAGGACACAGAAAAACTACTCTATAATGCTACAGTTCCTTGCTCCTTATATATAAGGGTTTAGTAGTAGTTTAGTGTAAGCTTATGCTATGTAACAAGGGCTATAGTTATAAGTTACTAGAACTGTATCCTAGTAGTATTAGGTCACTATTTGTAGAGTGTTGTTACACTACCCCCCTCCTTATAGACAGATAGTCCTATATCTATAACTTAGGTTTAAAACAGAATGTATACAGACATAGCAAGTAAAAGGGAATTAGTAGTAGGTAATATAAACCTACTTTTACTTTGTATTGTTATATACTCTATTATTATAGGAACAAAACTAGGTATACTAACAGAGAGGTTCTTTAAGTTTCTGTTTTGTCTTAAGCAAATAGAATACCTCTATGTATGTATATTAGACTAAATTAGCTATATGTCTAACCTTTAATAAGTTATAACACATTATGCTAATCCCTGTACTACCTAGCGCGCTTCTAGAGGCTTACAGAGTTATCTATATTTATTTAGTCTAGGCTGCTACTTATAGCTAATTTGTTAACTTTAAGTTTTTATTAATAAGTTCTAAGAAGCGTGCATACTACACTTTTTAAAATAAGAAGTGTGTTCTAGTACAAATCTAATACTAGCCCTTGCCTAGTTATATATTAATAGATTCTAGCTTCCTAGTAGGCTGGCGGAATGGGTATACTCCAACGTCCTTCGTGGGTACCCCCCAAAACTTTGTCAATAATACATGGATTCTAGCGAAATAGGGCTTAAAAGAAAGAGAAAAACTACCTCTACATTTCTGTAGTAGAGGGTTTTGTTATAACTATTAAACTGCACAAGCTAGAGGCTAGAAAAGGTTAAAAAAGGGGGGGTACCTAGCGAGCATACCTATTAATAGGTATACTTTGCTAGGTAGTGTTAATAACTTAGCTAATACTAGGCAGAATGAGCTAATTCTTTTTTTATTAGAAGGCGCAATACTGGGCGCTTCTATCATATAATAGATTATGTAAGCGTATCTCTGCTAGTTAAGAAGCTATAAGCCAAAACGTAAAAAAGCATACCCTACCCATCCGCCAGCCTACTTCCTAGTTATGTGGAAAGCGAATTCTCTGTCTTTTGGCAGGCCCTTGGACAGTACGAGGTCGCGTTCAGCAGCGACGTGATTCATGACCGCCACATCACGGAGGCTAGGGTCCGGGCTGCTGCCTTCGCGCTGGCGAGCTGTGTGCAGGTAGCGACTGCCTAGCTCAAGAGCGTGTTGGTGGTAGATGTGCTACTAGCGGACTACTTTTAGGTAGCAGAGGAGAATTAGGTCCTTCAGGTTTAGATAGCTAATCTAGCAGCAGCTATTAAGAAGGTGACAGGAGCTTAGGTAGAGCTAACAAAAGCTTTGTAGGGCCTTATAGAAGGAGGGAGTTAGGGTAGAAAAGGATAATAAGGTAGATAGGGTAGTTATCTAAGTAGTAGAAGGGGCAATAGATATAATAGTAGTTTAGGAGGAGAAGTTAGGGCAGAGTTAGATAGTAAGCTATCTAACGTGCCTTATAAATTGTTAGGTAACAAGATAGACCTACTATAAGGCCTAAGGCAGGTTCTAAAACTAGCTAGTAAGTACCTATAGATAGTGTACTATAATAAACTATGTTTGTTCTCTCTTACTTTGTTATCCTCTAGCTATAACATGTCTTCTATTCCTTTCTTCTACGCGTTAATCTATTTTTCTAAGCCTCTTAGAGGTCCTAGCTAATTTAGGTATTGTTTGTGGAATACTCTTAACTTGTAGGGGGCACCTATAAAGTTAGAGGCGTTATACTAAGTAGGGTCCTAATTATAGCCTACCTACTTAACCTAATACTTTAGGGTTGCGTGATAGAGCTTGCTAGCTAGGATTTCTTCTACTTCCTACTCTTTAACGCCTTAGATAGGGATACCTAAGGGTTTTAGTGCTTCTTATCCTAGGAGTAGGTCCTAGGGGTCTTTATATAACATATTTAGGGTAAATATATTATAGATATAAGATCCCTTAGGTAAGTTAAGTTAGTATAAATATCCTACCTATTCTAGTACTTAAAATAGACCTTCCTATAGGTTAGATAGCTTTCTGCTAGGGCGTAGGTTTAATAGGTTCTTAGTGCTTAGATAGACTATATTACTAACCTTCTAATTAACTAGTTAATAATGCTTTTTAACTGTAGTCTGTATTTAGAGTTAAGCCTATTCTATGTTCTTCTTAGCTATAGCCTTAGCATTATGTATGTAAGTAGCTAGGGCTAAGGTATCCTTATAGTTTATAGCTTCTAGTCCTTTTCCTTTTACTAGTTAGTTGTTCTAGAACTAGCTCTACTTTAGTTTAGAACTAAAAAGGACCTAATACAGGGCTATACTAATTACTAAGTAGGGTAGGGTTATTAAGGCTTAGTTAATTATAGGCAGTAGATTGCTCTACTTATCCTAGTAGTAGGATACAAATAGGCGCAATCTCTAGTTAATATACTTATTTCTAATTTTAGTTTAACTATCTATTTCCTTATAATAGGTAGTTAATAGTTTAACCTTTATACTAATAATATTATAGAAGGCAGACTAGAAAGTAGACATAAATTATAGACTATAGTCTGACATAATAGACTCTAGGGTGTAGCTAAATTAGTACACCTATTAGATAAATAGGTTAGCTATACCTTAGACATTTATATTCTTATAATATAGTATTATAATAGCTTATTTAGACAGGTAGTTAATAATTACTATAATCTAGTTATAACTAGCTTTGTCTAGTAGAAAATCCTTAAAGTCTATACAAAGATATTATATAGGTTAGTCTAGGATAGGTAAGGGGTAGAGGTAACCTTAGAGTTAAATCTACTTTAGATATCCTCTTTAGCATAGAATATAGTTAGAAAAATAATATTAATATAAAGTTTCTATACCTTTCTAGTAATATTTCTTAGATAATAACTAATAAGTCTTCTTTATACTTAGATATGCAGATAATACTTAGTTATAGACCTCCTAAATTAACTGTGTATAGAGTATAGAGTCTACCTAAACATAGAGATAATCCTTGTAGAGCAATAGTCTATTACTAACGCAATACTAGTTAGGTAAACTTTCACATTCTAGACTAAATCTAGCCTAGTTGTCCTGTAGTAATGCTTTAATTAATTCTAACAAGTCTAGGTCTATATAGCGCTTGCTAGTACTAAGCACGTGGATTTAGGCGTCAGGTTGTTGATCTCCTATGTACTTCTGGGCAAGATTGGAGTTGATACAAGTGTTAAGTCGATTTAGGCCTAGGAAAACGCGTGAACAATTGTCTTGCTGAGCGATGTAAGGAGCTGGCCTCTGCGGGCTATTTGCAAGTATGAATCAAATGGATTTGTTGAGGAGTGGCTGCAGGCGGAGGTCTGCAGACTTTTATGTCCTCCGTGCGGAGGTTACACAATTAGTCAAGATTGGGACCTCCTGACTGGGGGTACAGCTCGGCAGGCACCTCCTCTCGGAGGTTGGCCGAGGCCGGCGAGCACCGAAGCGCTACCATCGGGCCTAGCCCGTTACAGGCGACCCGTAAGTTACTCAGATCTTGTTCCCTACAGCTTAAGATGTCTGCTCTAGCGTTGCTTGCACCTAGAGTATACTTAATTTAGAAGTTAAACAGGGCCATAGTCTCTGCCTAACAAACTTGTCTTGCACTAAGTACTTTAGTTATTATAAAGTACTCTAGTGCTCTATATTTATAGAACACTTAGACACAAGATCAGGCACTTGTTAGTTCTACTCTCTACTTACAAAAAGCTTAGTGTATAGCAAACAACTCCTTATTATATATCTCCTAGTTTAGCTCTAAACTAGATAAGACTTAGCTGTAGAACATAACTAGGTACTATTTTCTATTAGGGTGTTTTTATAATAGTACTCCTAGAACTACACTATTAGAGGTATTAGTCTCTAGTTTTGTATTAACGTACCTCACGGGTTCGTGCACCACACAGGTTCGTGCACCACTTTTGCCAAGCCCCCACCAAAACCACCCCATTCTGGCGCAAAACAGCCCACTTTGGCCCTGTATAGAGCAATATAACACAAGATATTATTTAGAGTCTACTTCTACTGCTTACTTACACGTACGCGCGTTATGCCCAGTCTAATTGCACTGTCTGCAGCGCCTTTGAGTTAGCTCACCTCCTTCAGCGCGTACCTGCTTCTTTGCCTTCTTCCCATCACTACGCGCCCTAAACTCCTTTAGAGCAGTTAGACAAGCTCTATCCTTAACTATTAAGGTCCCTTCTGCCTGAACCCACTTTCTTTTATGCGATCTACGTCGCGTAGCAGCCTTGTTTGCCGCTCGAAGCTCTGCAATCTCCTTTTGCGCTAACACTAGCTTGTGCGCGATAATCGCTGCCCCCTTTAAGACCTTCTTAAAGGCCTCTACCATAGACGTTAGTGAGCTATCTATATGCTTCTAAATCCTTTCCTTAACAAGCATTAATTATAACCCTAGTTTAAGGGTATTGCTTAGGGTTTGCGACTGCTAGGACTTAGTGTTAATAGGCAGTAGTAGTGATAGAGTACGCAACTAGACGTCAAGGGCTGTTATAACCTGTTCTAGGTTAAATAGGACTAATCTAGCGCCTTAAAACCCTCCTTAGATATTACTAGAAGTAATTGCTGCATTATAGGCGCGTATAAAGCATAGTAGGAACTTAAGTTTTATGATGTAGGTAATCTAGTTGCGTATAAGATCTTCAGCTTGGCGCCTGTACGCCTTCTTTAAAGGGGCAAAACATCCTATATCAAGAGGCTGCAGGAGGTGCGATGAGTGCAGAGGCATGCAGATAGTGATAATCTTGTTCTCCTTGCAGTACTGCTGGAAATTGAGCGAGTTGTGGCTCTCATGGCCGTTAATAATAAGGAGCCAATAAGCGCCTATAACCCTCCTCTTTGTATACTTATCAAAGTGCTTTAACTACTGCAGCCTAAGCTTATTTGTCGTCCAGCTGTTCTTAGAGACTGCAATAACCTAGTCCTAAGGCAGATTCTCCTCCTTATACTAGGCAGAGAGGTGATAGCGGCCCTTAAAGATAATAAAGGGTAGAATAGCCCACCCTGTTGCGTTGATGCCCTAGATAACTATTGTCTACTCCCTATTGCCTTGCTGTATTACCTTTAGCCTTCCTTATCTCTCTAAAGCTGTAACAACCACCCTAGTTAATATCTAGCCTATTATAAAGCCTAACTTGTTAAAGTTATACGTGTCTTTATCCTAGATACTATACTTAGCTTTTATGTTAGCTACTAGGCGAAACTAGCCCTAGATAACCTTAGGATCCTCGCAGAGTGCTCTCTTGTAATTGTACTTGCGATTAAACTTCATTGTGAACTTAGGGCGGTGCATAACCCACGTACTGGGCCAGTTTAAGCCAACCTGGCCTAGATTGCGCTCTGCGCGTAAGGAATTGGCCATATCAGCTACAGCTGCGAGCCTGGGGGGGAATCCGCGCGATAGGCTGGCGGATGGGTAGGGTATGCTTTTTTACGTTTTGGCTTATAGCTTCTTAACTAGCAGAGATACGCTTACATAATCTATTATTCGATAGA